TGTCCTGGTGTTGCTCCTGCTGGGGTTCCTAGCTGAGTTCACCCTAAGGCTAAGAATTCCTGAGCATCAAGGCCTCCAGCACACCCATTTCACATCCACCCTCTTTCTCCCCCTTCCTGAAAAACTGGGTGCCATGTGTCTTGTCTGTCTGCACGCAGATAACAAGGCAGCATGTCACATCTCCCTGCCACCAGCTTACCCTTTCCTTGCCCATTCACCACACCTGGTCACCACATCCAGGTTTCAAATACAAATTTAATCACTAAACTAAAACTAAAACCCATAACCCCAGCCAGATGTCTGTGGCTCACGCCTGTAATCGTAGCTACTCAGGAGACAGAGATCAGGAGAATCATGGTTCAAAGCCAGTCTGGGCAAATAGTTCAAGGGACCCTATCTCAAAAAAACTTTCACAAAAAAGGGAAAAAAGAGGCTGGTGGAGTGGCTCAAGGTATACACCCTGAGTTCAAGCCCCAATACAAAAAAGAAAGAAAGAAAGAGAGAGAGAGAGAGAGAGAGAGAGAGAGAGAGAGAGAGAGAGAAAGAAGGAAAGAAAGAAAGAAAGAAAGAGAAAGAAAGAAAGAAAGAAAGAAAGAAAGAAAGAAAGAAAGAAAGAAAGAAAGAAAGAAAGAAAGAAAGAAAGAAAGAAAAAAAGAAAACAAATGCAAGCTGGGGACCAGGGGCTCACACCTGTAATCCTAGCTACTCAGGAGGCAGAGATCAGGATCAAGGTTCAAAGCCAGCTCAGGCAAATAGTTAGTGAGACCCTGTCTCAAAAATACTCCACACACAAAAACAGGCTGGCAGAGTGGCTCAAGTGGTAGAGCACCTGCCTAGCAAGTGTGGGGTTTTGAGTTCAAACCCAGTGCTGCCCTCCCCAAAAAAAAGAAAGAAAAAGAAAAGAAAACGAATGCAGAAGTATTAGAAGAAAACAGGCATGGTATACTTCCTAAACTCACACATAGACTTTTTTGTTTCATATTGAGAAACCAGTGTAACGCTATATAATAAAATTTTGCAATATATTTCCTATTAATTCCTATTAATTTAAGCCTTTCTCAAGAAAAATTACGAAGTTGGGGGATGGGATGGCAAAGTGTTTAAGAAAAAGCAGTACCACTTATAAATTCGTTTCTCCTACTCAGAAAACCCTTACTGGGGGTGGCACTGATGGCAGCAACTGCCAGCAGGCTTCTTCTCTCCTCATGCACTGTAGAGCTGCTTTGTGATCCAGACATCAAATCCTACTAAGCAGAAAAGCACATCACAAGCCTGCTTATTATCTTCAAGACAAAGGGAAAATATAGAAAGCAGATCAGCTGCAAACTTCCTCGATAATTGCCAAGGAAAGGAGAGGCTGCCAGAATCTAGCCCTTTTTTTCTCCCCATCAGTTCTTTTTTTTTTTTTTTTTTTTCCTTTTTCAGTGCTGGGTGTCAAACCAGGCCTTGTGCATGCTAGATAAATGCTCTATTACTGAGCTAAGTCACCAGCTCTTCACGAACTATATATTTTTTTCATTTGTTTGTTTTGATTAGTTGTTTTGTTTTAATTTTTCTAAGACAGGTTCTTGCAAAGCTGCCCAGGCTGGCCTGTAGCTCCCGATCCTGCCTCAGTGGCCCAAGTAGTTGAGAATACAGGCATTGCTTGGCTCCCATCTAAAAAATGGAATTAGACTCTGGCTTAATAATATCACAGAATAAAAATTAGAATAATTGAGTTCTCAGTGTTGTAGCAGCATCACGCTCCTCCAGGATCCCAGGTGCATTGCATCTTTACTCACCCTCTTCCCTCTTCCTGAGTATCTGTTCCTCTGGCGCTAAAATGAGTCAATGTCTGCTCCCTTTAGGAAGGCTTTCTGCACTGTTTGCCCCATTTGTTTTCACTTCCCCCACTTTTTTTTTTTCCTCTGTACTGAGCTATATCCTCTTTTAAATGTTTTGGTTTTTGCCATTACTGAGATTTTAATTCAGGGCCCTGCTCTTGCTAAGCAGTTTTCTACCACTTGCCAAATCCCCAGTTTTGAGACAGGGTCTTGCTAAGTTGTCCATGTTAGCTTTGAACTTGCAATCCTCCTGCCTCAGGGGAATCCAGGTGTGCACCACCATACCTTTCAAAAGATCTTTAAGAACCTGCTACTCTTTAGCTCACAGAGCTGCCTTCCCTATAGACTACAAGCCTTTATGGGCAGGAACTGTGTTGGTCACCTCAGTATTCTCAGACCTAGCTCGGTGCCTGATTCCAAAGTCTTTTAACAAATGTTTACTGAGCTGGGCGTGGCGGTGCACACATATAATCCTGAAGCTGGGCCACGAGAATCATGAGTTTCAGGCCAGTTTGAGTTGCATAGTAAGTCTGTGACCAGCCTGGCTACAGAGAGAGACCTTCTCAAAATTTAATAAAAACAACAAAATGCCTACTGAATGAATACATGAATATGCTCTACCCTACTCTATTGCTATTGTGAGCAGATAGTTAAGACATCGCAGGAAAGGAGAACTGCCCCTGACTACAAGACTCCATTCCAAAACCCCAAATGGCTCAACTTTGACATAATGGTCCACATCCTTCCTGGACAGAGGATTAAGATAATGGCCTTATGTCCTTTTTTTGGATGGGACTGGGATTTGAACTCAGGGCTTTGCCCTTGTGAAGCAAATCCTCTACCACTTGAGCCACACCTCCAGTCCATTTTGTTCTTGTTATTTTGGAGATGGGGTTTCATGAACTATTTCCCCAGGCTGGCCTCAAACCATGATCCTCCCTATCTTGGCCTCCCAAGTAGTTAGGATTACAGATGTGAGCCACCAGCACCTGCACCTGTGTCCTTCTTATGGAGTCCACTCCCCATATCCAGGTTAAACCAGGAAGGGCAAAGAGGATCAAATGTGCATGCTTCCAGCAGCCTTTGTGCAATGGCCTAACTATTTGGGGAGGGCTACAAAGGGAGGGCTCTGATTTTGTGCCACCTAGTAAGCCCATCTATTGGATAAAACCCAAAGCCTGCACAGCTTCAATCGTTCCTTCCACTGCCCACCTCATCCCTTGAGGTGTACTTTTGCTTGGCTAATAAATTACTCTTTACTAGGTCCTTACTGTTTGTGGTTCTTTTGCCACACCTGGAGCAGCACCTTAATCTTAAATGTTGTGCCCAAGAATGCAGGAACATCTGGAACATCCCAACCACTGGTAACACACTGAGCTTTTGGTTTTTTTTTAAGGGGGGTGGGTGGCCTGGGGTTTGAATTCAGGACTTTGTGCTTGCAAAGCAAGTACTCTACCACTTAAGCCACACTGCCAGTTGAGCTCTTGGCTTTTAAGAAAAACTACTCAAATGATCCTAGTCTTGGTGTTCATTAAAATTCAAGGCTAATGTAGCAATAGCCCAGGAGTCTAAAAAGAACCTATGAAGGGCACTAATATTGTTTACCCAGGTTCAAATGCAAGGGGCTCGGGAAGAGGGTAGGCCAGCAATGTTCACATTGGAGAGACAACTTCAAGAAAGTAAATCTGGTCAACTCTCTCAATCATGCTGATGGAGAAAAAAGATGGCGGCACCAAAAATTCCACCCAGTGAAGAACCTATAGGTCAATATCCTTAAGGCATGTCTTACTTCTTTGCAGAAAATTTGTCTTCCAGATTTGTTTCAAGCTATAAACACATGACAAAAGATGACAGATATCCAATGCAGTCACCTGTACAGGGCAGGAAGTTCCCCTTACTTGGCACAGTTCTAGGGACCTGCCTGGATGGTTTGTTTTTTGATTTTGAGGTATTGGGGATTGAATCCAGGGCCTCAAGCTTGTTAGACACCTACTACTACAGTTCCAGGCCTGTCTATATGGCTCTTGTAGCTCCCTTCCTGATGCTGGTGGAAACCAAGGCTTTAGGGTGACCTCCACCCCAGGCTGCCCCATCAGGTCAAAGTTGGAATGAGAACTGGCAAGCTTCTTACATCCACATAAGGGCAAAATGTGAAAAGGAAGCAACTCGGTCAAGATGGGGGAGAGATGGGAGACTGACATCCCTTCCATCTACGATAACAGTAGCTATTATACACTCTGGTGAACAGGGACAGGAAAAACCATAAGCAAAGAAGCAGGACGCTCTGACCCCAGACTACCTGTTAAAGAAATGAGGCAGGAGGGAGGGTGTTCAAAATGCAAGAGGAAGACCAGTCAGGTCTGGGATGTCTTTATCCCAAACTTTCCTCTTCTCCCTTCTCATTCAGCTATCTACCTTCCTCCTCCTAGAGTCTCTTTCTGAATCCAGTGCACTTTCCACGCCCCAGAGTATGGCTCCCTATCTCCAACACACACCTGGTCCTGTGTGGTCCACAAGTCATTTTAACGTCTCCCACTTTCAAGCCACAATCTCTTTACCCAACCAGCTATCCATTTCTCTGTGTATTCCTATCACCTTCCTTGAGAGCCTGGCCCCTAATTACATTTTCCATTTTTCTTTCTCCAGTTCAGCAACCTCCTCTCCCAGAAGGTACTTCCTGTCCTAAGCTCTCTTTCAGTCATCTATGATGGGCCAGCCACTTAATAATGACCACTTCCCCTCAAGCCCCCAAGGACTCCTTCCCCCGGACCCCCGCCTGGGCGACAGCAGTCCCTATACCTTTAACAAAACCTCCACGTGCCTGTTGACAGCGGTGACAGCATTTCCTCGTCTCTGCTCCCGCCCCCGGAGGCGCTGCCCATTGGCCATTGGAAATATCTGTTCGCACTCCAATTGGCTACGCGCTCGGAAAACTCCAACCAATGATCTCTCCGCGTCTGTCGCCCTCCTCCGATCATGGACACGCATTGGCTGATCCTGGACACACATTGGCCCTGAAGATTTAGGACCTTTTGGTTTGACTGGACCGCTAGCAAATCCTTCCTTCCTGTGTTCGACTACCAGACTGAGAAATTGGTTCCGAACCCGGGGCCAGGCGACGTCTGATCACGTGGCCTACGGCCCCATGACGTACGGGCTGCTGGGCGTCGCTGTGACGTTCGGACGACCTGCCAAGTGGCCGCGTTACCTCCGCCACCTGTGCGGTCGCGGTGCTGTCATGGACCTGGGACCGATGCGCAAGAATTACCGCGGGGACCGAGAGGTGCCGCGGCCGTGAAGGGCTTCCCAGCCGGGCTCGGGAAGGAGTTCCCGTAGTCATCTACCGAGGGGAGGGTTGGAGGAGCCCCTCTGGGCTTCAGGGGCCACCCTTGAGACTAGAGGGTTTGGGGGTCACCCTGGTGGGAGACGGGGGTTTCAGAGTCAACCACTTCTCGGAGAGGGAAAAACGTGGATGAAGGTGGGTTCAAGAGGCAACTTGTCTGAGTGGTAAGAGGCGCCAATTCTGGAGCCCACCTGGGTTGGAATTGAGCGCTTACTGGATGTTAACATCTTTGGCAATTTACTTATTCTCTCTGGTCCTCAATTTCCGTATCTGTAAAGTGGTAGTACCTACCTCAAAAGGATGCGATGGGCTTAGGTATTCGTAAAGTGCTCAGAACATGGGGAGGCAGAAGCTCTTAGCTCCTTTTTTTTTCTGTGCTGGGATTTGAACTCAGGGCCCACTCCTTGAGCCACTCCACCAGTCCTTCTTTGTGATGGGTTTTTTCAAGATAGGATCTTGCGAACTGCTTGCCCGGGCTGACTTGGAACCGCTATTCTGATCTCTGTCTTCTGAGTAGCTAGGATTACAGGTGTGAGCCACTGGTGCCTGGTAGCTATTAGCTCTTAACTACTTTTACTGAAGTACCTTCTCACCTGGAGGAAAAGTTCTTTTCCCTCTTCAGGTTAAAAATGAGGAGAACTGTTTTGGAATTAGGGTCCAGAGCCATAGTTGCCAAATTTGGTTGCCTTCTCAGAAACGATTGTTTAAAATGCAGTTTCTTATTGAATCTCAGACCTACTGCATGAGAAATTATGGGATGAGTCTTAGGATTCTGACACACAGAGATGTGTGTCAGAAACCCTGAAACTCTGATTCATCCCTTACTAGCTGTGGAAGCCAGCAATTTATTTGGCCTTTTTATCCCTGTTTCTTTACCTTTAAAATGGAACACAGAATCTACTCCTGGCTACTGTTTTTTGTTATGAAGTCATTGCTATGAGGACTAAATGAGTTAATATTTGAAAAGTGTTTTGATCAGTATCAGGCATATAGTAAGCACTATATGTGTTCATTAAGTGAAATAAAACTTCCTTCCCCAGGCATTTGAGGAGGCTCATCTGAGCTCCTTGGACCCCATGAAACAGTTTGCTTCCTGGTTTGAGGAGGCTGTTCAGTGTCCTGACATCGGGGAAGCCAATGCCATGTGTCTGGCTACTTGTACCAGGTGGGTATAGCCATGGACTCCTGTGTGGGTGGGTACAGAATAAGTGGGAAACTTAAAAAACTCTCAGCTCATTGCATGTCATCTTTATGGTTCCAGCTCTGTCGGTAAAATGTTGTATGGTCTCAGGCAAGTCACTTGTCTTTTCTAACCCTCAGTTAACCAATCCTTGTTGGTAAACCAAAGCCCAGACCACTAAATTCCCTTTCGGCAGTACAATGCAATGCTTGCTGGAGGCATCGCTCAAGTGGTAGAGCTCCTGCCTAGCATGCATGAAGCCCTGAGTTCAAACCCCAGTACTGCCAAAATAAATAAATAGATAAATAAATAAAATGCAGTGTTCTGTGTCCTTGATGCACCCAGTTACAACCCCATGCATCCATGTCACCATCTGCCCTTCCAAGAGCTATATCTCCTGGGACTGCTCCATGAGGCTGTGTCCCTCTTTTGAAACCTAGTATAGTGCTTGGCTCTGTCATTGATTTGACAGTCATACCCTTTGAGATATTTCTCATATTAACCTCTTACTCAATTCTTTTTGTCTCTCCTCACTAAAGCTCAAAGCTTGAAGGCAGGGCTCTTGTACTGTCCCCTGGGTATCCCCCAGAACTCTGGGCAGAATACCTGATATAATAGCCCATTTTCTATCCCTAAGCACTGGCTGGTTGCTTTATTGTTGGTCCCTGCTCTTAGGGTCTTGTTAGTTTGCCAGGGCTGCTATAACAAAGTACTGTAGTATTGAGTACTATAGACCGGGTGGCTTCAGCAAAAGTTTATTTTTCACAGTCCAATTTTTCTGGAAGATAGAAGTCCAAGATCAAGGTGCTGTGAGGTTTCTGGTGAGGTATCTGAATACAGGTGCCCTTTTACTGTGTCCTCACATGGCTTTTCGGCGTGTGGAGACAGACTGCTCTGTGCTGTCTCTCCTCCTACAAGGACACCAGTCCTATTGGATTAGGATCCCAATCCAACTGACTTCATGTAACTGTAATTACCTCCTAAAAGGCTCTGTCTCCAAATACAGTCACACACGGGGTTGGGACTTGAACATATAGGTATTTGGAGGATACAAGTCAGTTTATAACAGGGCCCCAGAAACAGTGCCTCCCTTGTCTTCTACTGGGAGCCCCTTCACCGGCAGGTGAGTGAAGTTCCCAGGACAGCATGGGTGGGCTGTGTTGGCAGAGGTGAGTTTGTGGATGGCCTAGGGAAGGTGCCCAGAGTGTCTAGGCCAGAACAGTCCACCTCTCATATAGCTCTGGGCTAGTCTATGCCTGCAGGAATGGACAGCCTGAGAGCCAAATAAGGAAGGGGGCACAGCTGGAGAGCTTGCTCAGACGTCTTGTGGGGAGGGAGACCGAGGTGAGGACGTTGAAATGGGCTTTGACTCCAGTGCTCTGCTGTGTGCCCCTAGAGATGGAAGACCCTCTGCCCGCATGTTGCTGTTGAAGGGCTTTGGCAAGGATGGCTTCCGCTTCTTCACTAACTACGAGAGTCGGAAGGGAAAAGAGCTGGTGAGGGTTCAGAGTAAATCCAGGGCTGGCTGCACCCAGCCTCCACCCTTGCCTGCATGGCTTCTCATGCCACCCTTCCATTCACTTCTCTCTGTGCCCAGGCTTCCTTCTGCCTCCAGGCCTTTGTACTTGCCATTGTTCTCTTTGCTGTGAATGAATGAACCCCCCACCCCTATCATCTGATTGATTCCTATTAGCTCAGGTTCCTTTAGGTCTCAGCTCAGATGTTGCCTCCTCAGGGAAGCCCTCCTTGACTGTTACACTGAGCCAGCCTCTGGTGCTGTTAGCTGTCGTTATAGCTTTCAACTTTCCTTTCTGCCTTTTTTTTTTTCTTTTAGTTTGTGATTGTGCATTTATTTATGTGATTATGTGGTTGATATTTTTCTCCTCTGCTAAACAGTAAGTCCCGTGGGAGTAGAGGCTGCATCTTTTTTTTTTAATTTGTTTTACTCCTAGCACCTTTCCTGGTTTTGGACACAGAGTTGGCATTTTGTATATATTCAGTGAATGAGTTCATGAACTCCCTGAGTTCATGCCAGCCAAACATGCATTTCTTAAAAATCTATAGGTGAGAGAAATGGCCAAGTCTCACCTTTAGGTTAGACTGGCTCAAACCCCAGTTCTACCACTTACTATGTGTTACTTTGCCTCTCTGAGCCTGCTGCCACATCTATGACAAGAGGCTGACCTTCAAGGGGTTAAATGAGATCAGTGAATACATCTGTTGACAGCCCACATGCTGCAGATCTCCTGCCCACCCCATGCATGCCATAGGCATCCTCTTTTCATCCAGATCACTGTCTATGGAATTCTCTTTCATTTCCAGGACTCTAATCCCTTTGCCTCCCTTGTCTTCTACTGGGAGCCCCTTCACCGGCAGGTGAGTGAAGTTCCCAGGACAGCATGGGTGGGCTGTGTTGGCAGAGGTGAGTTTGTGGATGGCCTAGGAAAGGTGCCCAGAGTGTCTAGGCCAGAACAGTCCACCTCTCATATAGCTCTGGGCTAGTCTAATTGGAGCCAGGAGTGGGGGAGGAGGAGTAGCCAATAGAGAGAACAGAGAGAAATAGGGCCTGTACTGGTAGGAAGGGCCAACGGTATTGACCAGCACCCAGCCGGGGTCATGTCTGAGCAGGTGCGTGTGGAGGGCTCTGTGAAGAAGCTGTCTGAGGAGGAGGCTGAGTGTTACTTCCACTCCCGCCCTAAGAGCAGCCAGATCGGGGCTGTGGTCAGTCACCAGAGTTCTGTGATCCCTGATCGAGAGGTGAGTAGGGCTTCTGTATAGTCCCCTAAAGGGTGGGGACCTGGGCTCATGCCCAGAAGCTGCCCCCAGGGGCTGCTAGGGCCCTCTCACTCTGGCAAAGAGAAGAGGATGACCTCCCTACGGGAGAAGGGCAGGGAATGGGGAAATGGGCCTCCTTTGTCTGGCCATCCTGTTGACCGTGCGCCAGGCTGCCTTGCTCTCCTGTGTCCTTGGTGTCTGGTCCAGCACCTGGCCCACAGCATGTGCTCATAAGTCCTTCTTAAATAAATCATTGCCTGGGTCTGCCTCTTCCTACCTCTCTTCCTGAACAGTATCTAAGAAAGAAAAATGAAGAACTGGAGCAGCTCTACCAGGAACAAGAGGTGCCTAAGCCAAAATACTGGTGAGTGATGCCTGGTGGTCATTCAGAAAGAGACACCAGGACCCCGTCTGGAATTATAGATCTTCTCTGGGCAACCCTCATCAGATGCATCCCAGCAGTTTCCTCCAGGAGAGCCTGGGATGTGTGGAAGTTGGTGAGAGAATAAATGTCTGCTTCTCCTTGTAGGGGTGGCTACATCCTATATCCCCAGGTGATGGAGTTCTGGCAAGGCCAAACCAACCGGCTGCATGACCGCATTGTCTTCCGGAGGGGCCTCCCAACAGGAGATTCTCCTTTGGGGCCCATGACCCACCACGGGGAGGAAGGCTGGCTGTATGAGAGACTTGCGCCTTGACTCTGTACTCAGCGGGACTAGGTTCTAAGACAGGGTGTGGAATTGGGAGCCAGGCCCTTCTTTCTAAACTCAGCCCATTTCCTTTCCTACCCCTTATATCTAGGGCTCTCCAGGGCTCATCCTCTGACTTCTCTGTATTCAGTTGGGTCTCAGCTGCTCCGGAGGAGGGTTAACAGTGTCATAGAGAATCACATATGGGAAAGATTTCTGTAATTTTCTGGACTTTGCCTGTGGTGTCCGGAACAACTCCATCTAGGGGTAGCAGCCCACCCGACTCCCTTTCTGGTGACTGTGCCCCTGCAACCCTGTTTCCATGTGAATCATACTGGCCAAAGTTGATTGGTCCCATTGTAGGCACCTGAGGTAATCTATCCAATCAGATTTTCTTGTCAATAATTTGAACTTTGAAGTATAGGTAAGCACTAATGGCAGCCAAGAAATTGCTGTTGTTGTAATTCCCTGAGCTACTCTGGATTATTCTTCCCATGTGTGCTGTGCAGTTCCTCCTTCTGCCCCAAAACTCCTTGGTAAGGGATGGGGTGTGTGGGGTGGGGCATGAGAGCTCCAATTTAGCAAGCACAGGCCCTAAATTCAAACCCAGAACCACTAAAAAAAAACAAACAAACAAAAACACATATGAGCCAAGTACAGTGGTTCTTGCCTGTAATCCAAGCTTCTTGGGAGATAGAAATCAGGATCATGGCTCAAGGCCAGCCTTAGCTACAGGGGAGACCAAAGGCAGGAGGATCAAGGTCCGAGGCTGGTCCTGGGCAAAAAGTGAGACCCTAGCTGAGAAACAACCTAAAAGCAAGGAAACTGGAGGTGTGGCTCAAGTGATAAAGCACTTGACGAGCAAGTACAGGCCCTGAATTCAAACCCAGTACTGCTAAAAAAACATCCTGCTAGCTCTGCAAATTTAAGATTTTGGTTTTGTTTCTTGTTTGTTTGTTTTTTGGCTTAAACTAGCTAGAACTGATTTAACATCTAAAGGAATCATAACTCATTTACTGATAGGATATTTTTATAATATTTACCTCCAGCAATTGTTGCCTTTTATGAAAAAGAGATTAAAATTATTCTTGTAGTTCTAAGGAACCCTTGTGTAGAAGTTATAAGATTTCAAACAAGTTCCTCTTAGGAGGACTTAGGTAGTGAGTGTTACGTCACTAGAAATACTCAATCCCTGCTAGTCAGGAATTTTGTAGAAGGGATTCATGTGCTGGTACCTACAGGCCAGCAAAATTTTAATCAAACTTTACTGTCCGTGTTTATGGAAACTGTGTTTTCCCAAATGTAAAATTAAATTATTATAGAAATTTGCTGTTCACACTACCCATACATCTCCTTGCCCTACTCCCCCTTCATTGAAGATAATCCCTAGATTACTGGTCTCCACTCACACTGGAATTACCTGTGGAGCTTCAAAAACGCTGATGCCTGGGTCCTACCCTCAAAGATGGGTTTAGCCCATCTGGGTACAGTTTGAGCACTGGAAAACTTGGATTCCCCCCAAGGAAATCTGTACAGCCAAGATTAAGACTTTCTGGTCTGAAATCCCAGACTACTACATCCAATTTTGTGTGAAATTCCCAGTGATTGGATGCTCTGACCCCAATCTCTGAACCAATATACCCCCACTCTCACAGCCTGCAATCCTTCCATAACTCTCATCTGAGTTCATCCTGGACTTCACTAGCTTTCTCCCTGTGCAGCCTTGATGAGGCACGGGGTCAACCAGGGACGAGGTCAACTGGCTGCTGGCTGCAGATGAGCAAGCAGCCTGCTGGCCATGGAGTGGAGCCAGGCTGGTCAGTGTTTGCTATGACTCAGTCAAGATCACAGAACTATCATTTGTACTGGTTGGCCTTGAACTTGCTACTGTATACACTGTGCTTTTGACTATATGGGTGTGTGCTTCAGTCTTCTTGACAGGGGTCCTCTGAGGACTGCCCTCTCCTGTGCTGATCCCCCCTTAAGCCTGAGTGCAGGAAAGCCCATCTACCCTGTGGCTGCCTGCTGGATGCCCTTACCTACCTTGTGCTTTTGTTATTGTGGGCTCTCATGGGCTGTGACCGTTATGAATACATGTGGGTGGGTGAGTGTAGAGGAGCCCTGCACCCTACCTTTGTTATGAGGTGTATGTGTCGTGTCCCCCCCCCACCCAGCTTGTAGCCTAGTCTCAGCTGTTCCTTTTCAGCTCTCTGTTCATCATTCACTGTGCCAAGTGTGTAATAAAATAAAAGCCCTTCAGCCATGTGTGATATTAATGTTTAACCTGGCCTGGTCTCCCACCCCACCGGCCTCAGGAGGGAGGGGAACTAGAGAATTTCTGGGACTTTCCTCCCATCCCACTGCTCACCATGCAGGCTGGGTGTCCAGCAGGGGGAGCTCACTGCCCATGCTCAGCCCGCTTCTGGGCAGTGGAGGCTAGTTCCAGCCGGCCTCCCTTGTCTCCCCCTTTCTCCTTCTTGGGTTGCGTCCCAGTGAAACTGTGGTCGATAACCCATAGCCTCTCCCAGCTCCTGCACATATTTGCACTCTCGGTTCCTCCTCCAACTCCTCGGGTCTCCTGAAAACTTGCAGCTGCCTCGCTCTGACTTCCTGTGCAACCAGATCTCACCCCAGCCAGCCAGCCACCCAGCCCTCCAGCTTAGGGGTGGTGGTCCTACAGTTTTCCTAAAATACTCCTGCAGAGATCGCTTTGGGGCTGTGAGCAGGGTTGTTGTGCAAAGGCTAGAGAGGCTGTGGCCCCTCTAAGCTAAGAAGGGAAACGATAATATCACAGTAGGTGGCAATGCAGTGCTAGAAGTAGGTAGAACTTGGATCCCTGCCTATCCTCACTCACCACCTCAGGGGACCCCAGGATGAGCTATGTAGGAGTTACCTATAATATGGGGTCTAGGGGACACAGCGTTGAGGCTGGTTGGCTTGTCTGTCTTTGGTTCCATAGTCTGTACAGCCCCCTGGGGTGATGGGCAAATGATTTCTTCCCACAAACTAGGCCTAGATAAGGCCCTCCCTCCTTCCTGCCTCCCGCAATGGACTGCTCCTTTCTTTCTGAGCCACAACTTCCTGTTCCCCCAGCAGATGAAACTCAAGAGTGGAAGGTGCTGTGGTGACAGTGGTCACATGCCCAGACTAGCTTCAACTTTAACCCAGCCCTGCCGGTGCAAGCGCCTGACGTAGGGCAAATGACTTTTACCTCTCTGAGCCTCAGCTAACTCATCTGGAAAATGGGGAGGATGGCAGCACCTGTTTCAGTGTTGAGAGAATTATATGGGTAGTGCTTTGGCGTGTTTGCTCCCAGCCATCTGTTGTAAGCACTCTATGTGGGAATTACAGCAGACAGGGCTGCAAACTGGGGAAGGTCTGAGCTTCTCCATGGGAGACTTTGTGGATTGAGTAATTGGTAAGACCCTAGAAAAAGTTCTTTGTGGGGGGGAAAGGGGTGGGGGAAAGAGGCCTTAGAACAGGCAGCACCCCTGAGTCTTCCATCCCTCTAGCACCTACTCTGTCCTTCATCTACTGAGCTCCCCCTGGTCTGGGTGAGGCACCTAACAAAGGTCCCCTTGTATAGGTCTGTTTGTTTTGGCAATAAATTTTCCCAGCAACAGCTCCCTGGGGTAGGGTGGCCCAGCAGCCTGCAAAGAGCTGACCTGGAAGCTGCAGGACCACATTGTTCAGTGGCCACCTTGGTCCTTCCCAATTCCTACCATGTTCTCAAGAGATTTTGCCAATTTTCTCAAGTTCCCAGGTCTTGTGACTTGAGAAAGAGTCAGACCTAACATAGGATGGGAGTTCTTGCTTTGTTCTTAACCTGAAGCTGTGGGTTAGTGGCATTCTGTAATAAAGGAAGAAGGAAGGAGATGAGTATTTAACTGAGCACCTACTATGGGGACTGCTTATGAGTCACTTCATGTGGTCACTCCCTACAAAATAGGTATTACTATAGTTCCCTTTCCAGGGGTCTTGTTTTATAGGCCAGACAGACCTAGAACTCATAATCCTCCAGCCTCAGCCTTCCCAGTACTGGGATTACAGGTATGTACCACCACAGCTGACCTCAAAGTAGTCTTTTAAAAAATGTTCCCAAGATCACCCAGCTTGAATCCTGTCCCAAACCACTGACACTTTGGATCAGTTGCCAAAAGCGACTGCTCACAGAAGTAGACATAATGCTTTACAAAGTAAAACTTTAGATAATGGTAGTAACTGTTAAGTAATGCTGATAATGGCTCCCTTTCCCCACAAAGCTGCCAAAGCCTTCTGTCTTAGAGCCCTGGTGGCCTCTGTTGCCCAGAAGGAACAGACCAGTTCCTGCCTCTGTCCCCTTCCTACCAAGCCCACCTTGCTGGTGGAGTTAGGGACCCAGCTCCTTCATTGGTCCACCTGGGGACCCTCCCTGAAATTTGACAGAGCAGGGTGAGCCTGAAGGCCCACTTCACTTACAAGAGGGGAGGTAAAGACATGAAAAACAGCCATCATCATAAAAGCAAGATAAGAGCATAAATATGTCCTCTGCTTTTGCAGCATTGTTTATTACAAAGAGAAACCTACAGTTACTTTTTTTGGTGTATGTGCAGTACTTGGACTTGAACTCAGGGCCTTCACCTTGAGCCACTCCACCAGCCCTATTTTTGTGAAGGGTTTTTCAAGATAGGGTCTCATGAACTATTTCTCCGGGCTGGCTTCAAACCGCAATTCTTCTGATCTCTGCCTCCTGAGTAGCTAGGATTACAGGTGTGTAATCCATAGCGACGCCTGGCTACAATTACTTCTAAACAAAATTCTAGGCTCCAGGATTCACCTCTGGGGCTGAACCATCTTAAACAGTAGAGTGAAAGGAGAGGAGGAAACTGGCTGTTTGTAGCTCCTAGCAGAGCTTCCCCACCCACTCCCTCAGTTTGGACTTTTGATCCAATGTGGCTTTCCTTTGAGGGGGTGTGACTCTGCGCATGCACAAATGGTGGCCAAGTCAGGAACCCCAAGGATCACTGATTTGGACTTCTGCAGCACCCTCAGGGTGAGCCCAGGTCCTCCACCCTCCACACCTGGGACAAAGTTCTGGGGAGTTTACCATTTGTGTTAAGAGGTGAGTTCAATGTTTCCACCTCTGGCACCAAGGAAACCACCCCCATCACATGGCTTCTAGAAAATGTACTCTCCTAGGATTGGTCCAGGGAAGGGTCATAAGTAGAGAAAATGAGAAGGAGCAGCAGTTCAGACTCACCCTTGACCCTGTGCCCAGGGAGAAGGTGGAGTCACTCTATCCAATCCCCACAGTGCTACCTTCCTGCAGCAAGGAGGGTTGTGTTACCTGGGTGGCAATTTTCATCCTGAACTGGAGTGCATTTGTACGTGGTTGGGGCGTGGGAGGAACCTGGGACTGCTCAGGCCTTACACAAAGCTGGGGTACATAAATACAAACTAAAAATCAGACATTTCCTGCCAGCAGGCGTCAACTATCCCCAGAGCTTCAGGCTTCAGCTATGACCAAAGAGGCCAGCGTGGCAAGCTCCTGTCTCAACTTGCCACTCAGTGGCAGGGAGCAGGGATGTGCTATCGTCCTCCTTGGCCCCTTCATTGTCCTTTGTCCTCCCGATCATCAAAGAGGCTGGGGTTCTCTGCCAGCATGGCTCGAACTTTCTTCTTCTCCTTGAAGCGGCCTGAATTGGAGACTTTGACATGCTTGCCCTTTGTGCTCTTGTCCACAATCTTCTCCAGGCGAGTGTTAAAGTCGCTGTCGGGGCCTTCAGCATTCGCCCTTGGTGGTTCTGCACCTCCTTCTGTCTGGGCGTAGGTGTCAGGGATCTCGTAGAGTACCTTGGGGGTGGATTTCTTTTTCCGGAGGAAGGTCAGCTTCCACCAACCAACATCAGTCATGGTGCTTCCTGAGCCAAGGTGAGGCTTCCTGCAGAGAATGTGGGGAGACAAAGGTCAGTGGGCAAAGCAGGCAGGCTCATTGGACCAGCCCTGTCAAGGTTCGTTCATAAATCACTGGCTATTTTAAGAGTTAAAGAAAGAATTGAAAGTAGTGCAGAATAACCCTAGGATTCAGGTAAGAGCAAAGCTTTTAGAGACTGACAGAAAAAAAGAGTCTGGGAAAAAGGGCCACCAAAGTAACCATCAACAGGGAAGTCACTGAGCCAGGCAGAAGGCACTCTATTGCCCTATAAAGCTGTGGGGAACTTTGGGGTCGTTCCTTCCAGGTCATCAGGACTGTAGGCTGGGGAACAGCTTGCCTGGTCACATTATAGCGGGGATTTTGACACCATAGTTAAGCTTCTCCCACTGTTGCAGGCGGGCAGACCATTGACTAGTTTCACAAACAGAAACACCCTGTGCATTTTGCCTAGAACTCATTACAAAATTAAATAGAGCCAGGGATGGTGGCACATCCTGTGATTCTACCACTCAAGAGGCTGAGGTAGGAGGATCACAAGTTCGAGGCCAGCATGCACTACATAGTGAGTCTCTGTCTCATAAAACAAAAGCAAAACAAAATTACATAGAATTTGTGATATTCCAAGCCATTTGGAGCTTCCAGCAGTGACAGGCAGGCCTGAAATGCTGCTGAGCTTTTTCTAAGGGGAGGGCTGGGAGCTGCACACTGTGAATGGGAAGTCCTGGGACCTGTCTAGCCTCCTGACCTCTGGCAACTACTTCTCTGGGCTTCAGTTTCCTCATCCATCACATCTAACCCTAACGTTTAGCTCTACCATTAGTCCCTAATTAGCACACAGAGGTAGACATGTTTTGCAAAGTAAAACTTAAAATAATGGTAGTAATTATTAAGTAATGGCTCCCTTTCCCCCTCAAGCTGCCACAGGCCAGAAGTTTGAGGAGGAGCTAAAAATCTGGAAGGCAAGCAGGTGGAGCTCAGAGATACATGTGGATTGTGGTCATCACAGATGGTACCTTCCATGAGTGGGGTACAAGAATGAAGCCCAGCCAGGTACCAGTGGCTCGTGCCTATAATCCTAGCTACTCAGGAGGCAGAGATCAGAAGGATCATGGTTCAAAGCCAGCCCTAGGCAAATAGTTCTTGAGACCCTATCTTGAAAAATTCCATCACAGAGAAGGGCTGGCAGAGTGACTCAAGCAGTAAGAGAACCTGTCTTGCAAGTGTGAGACCCTGAGTTCAAACCCCAGTGCTGCCAAAAAAAAAAAAAGACTGTAGTCCAGGCTTCTCCTCTCACAATCTATGTGCACCGATGTAGAGCTGCCTTCCCACAAAAGTGCTTACTAATTTCCACAAAGGTGCTTATGAGCTAGTGGAAGTTCCAAGAGATGAAGTTGATGTCTGGAGCACGTAAAATAGGCAGGGGTGAGCATACTACAGGAATTAAGATCACTGAGAAGCCTGGGTGCTAATGGCTTACAACCATAATCCTAGCTACTTGGGAGGCTGAGATCAGGAGGATCATGGTTTGAGGCCAGTCCAGGCAAATAGCTCATGAGATCCTACCTCCAAAATAATCAGAGCAAAATGGACTGGAGGTGTGGCTCAAATGGTATACCTGCTTTGCATGTGTAAAGCCCTGAGTTCAAACCCAAGTCCCCCATCCCCCACCCCCAAAAGAGAAGATCACTGAGAGATCAGAGTGGTAAGTAAAAGCATCCTGGATGTGGGGAGATTGGTGGTCTGGTTCTCAGATCTCTTAGGTATAAGCTGTGACAAATCTGGGAGGAGAGTGAAGAAGCCAGCAGACGCCAAGAAGGTAGATGGCCAGGTGGTCCAAGCACAAGTAAATATATCAGCTTGAACTGAATATATTATGGGGCTTGAACTCAGGGCCGACACCTTGAGCCACCCCACAGCCTTTTTTGCGATGGGTTTTTCGAGATAAGGTCTCACGAACTATTTGCCTGGGTTGACTTCAAACTGCAATCTTCCTGATCTCTGCCTCCTGAGTAGCTAGAATTACAGGTGTGAGCCACAAGTGCCCAGCTATCAGCTCCTTTTAAAAGCTGATGGTTGGGCTCTTTTTGCTTCCTATCTACCATGATGTGAGCTGCTCCTCCATGACCTCCTGGCCACAAAGGATTGAACCTTCTGAAACTCCATAAAGACTTTGCGTTTATGTCAGGAATACAAATTCCCACGCTTGGTTGGAAGACCAGAAACTTCCCACTAAGTCACAGAGGGGGTTGTGTCTGGGCAGGCTTCCTGAGAACAGACCATTTTCCTTAACTTGTATCAATTTTTGTCTGAGTTCTATGTTGAGCTAGTATAACACATTGCTGGCTTTAATGTCTCTTTTTTTTTCACTTATTATAGTTAATATTTACCCAATATCATTTAAAAATCTTGACTTTTTATATACATGCTTCTGCTTTTTTATTTTTTCAAGCTATTTTATTAGTTGTAAATCACATATTGACTCTCACTTCCATAAAGGAAAAAAGAAATCACTGAACAATAAATGTGGCTAGAGCTTGTTAGGGGAATTTTACAACACATCTGTAGTGATTAGATTTTTTTTTCCTACATTGAAAATGTGAGCTGCTTCCTCTCCCAATCAGCTATTGGTCTCTCAGCTCTTATAACCTAAAGTATTCTTATAATCTGCATAAACTCTGAATGAGCTTCTTTCAATACAATTAATTCTGTGGCCTCTTTATAAAGCTGATTGGCACTATGGATGTAGCTCAATTAGTAGGGCATTTGCTTAGAGTGCACGAGGCCCTGTGTTCAATCTCTAGCATCAAAAAATAAAATTTTTAAGAAATCCTGATGGTCTTCACTATGTTTTGTGAAAAGACCAGAAAGCTGAGTGCCTGTGGCTCACACCTATAATCCTAGCTACTCGGGAGGCAGAGATCAGGAGGAGCACCATTCGAAACCAGCTCTAAGCAAATACTTTAAGAGACCCTATCTCAAAAAAAAAAAAAAATCACAAAAAAGCGGCTGGCAGAGTGGCTCAAGGGGTAACAGCGCCTGCCTAGCAAGTGTGAAGCCCTGAGTTCAAATCCTAGTGCCACCAAAAAAAAAAAAGACCAGAAATATGCCAAATGATTATTAGTGGGTTTCTTTTGTAGAAGGAAAAGAGGATGTTTTCCCCCTCTTTCTCTGATTTCCAGACTTTCCAGAAAGAGTATGGATTTTTTTGGGGGGGAACATATCAAATTCAGGAGAAACTAAAGCACAACGTTGCTCTAGGCTTAGAATGAATTGCGTACCTACATGGGCTGCCCTTTGCTGCTGTGTGTGCTGCCCCTTCATGTAGACACCCTTTTCCAGAGCACATGCCGGGGCACTCCTTCCCACTTGTTTGGTGTTGTGCAGCCCCCACCAGGAGCATGGAGGGCCAGAGGAATACTTCCAGGTATCTAGAGAGGTGAGCTCACAGAGGGACAGCCTGAGAGGTTTGTTTTGGCAGCGTGCCCCGCCTGGGCTTAGCACGTCCTTGCACAGAACTTGGTGTTCCAAAATAGGTTTCTGGAAGGAGTTGCGGGAAGGGCAGGTAAGGAAGGATGGGGTGCTTGCTTGGTCTATGGTGCCCAGTCACTACCTCATTGGTGCCGTGGTCCCACCACTACCCATTTGGAACTGCCAGAGCATTGGGGAATAGAGGGACAGAAGATCCAGCTCTTGAAAATTCTTTCCCACCTGATTTCTAGCCCTAGGTGAGAGGTGGCTTCTGCATATGCCAGTAAAAACTGACTTGATTTAGCGGGTACCATATTTTAAGTTCGTATCCACAGATTCTAACTCTCTTTGGAGTAAAGGGAGCCACAAGTCACAAAGTATTTGTCAGGAAATAATAGAAACAGGAATAGCCTAGTACCCTGTCTTGGGGACTTCACCAAGACATGAAAACACTGGTGCCCTGTGTCCTAGACTTGTATCCTGGACTCTCTAGGATGCTCTTTGCCAGGACTTCCTGATGCTTCTGTCCTGGAGGACATCTGAGTACCAGTAAGCAGGTGTTTGCCCCTTGAGTCTAACATATGGAAATCTGAGTTTGCAAAATAGATAAATGAGCAGACTATTCTGTTTTACAGAATAACCCAGCTACAGGTTATTTAGTGAACATTAAAGACAGTGTGAAAATCTTGAGTTTTTTTTAAAAGGTGATGGGATATCTAAATTTCCCAGATCTCCAAAGTTGCAGAGAGCAAGGTATCTCCAGCTACATGCCCAATCACAGAAGCCCAGAAGAGACTTGGGGTGGGGAGACAGGTACTTGGGGTTTCGCACGGATCCTGCATTTGGTGACGTGTAGTGGGACCTGCACTCTGCTTGTACAGGGCCCTGACTTGGTCAGGCTGAGGGCTGGGCCCTTGCCCTGGGGCCCTGCAATCCGGGGGATGATGGAAATCAGCCCCACCTCTGCTGCTTGCATAGCTTCAGGGCCCACAAAGGGCTTCATGGAGCAGTCTGCCACCCCCTGCCTTGGGTGGCCAGCACCATGATATGCATGTGGGTGCCCCGGACAGGGCCCATAGTCTCAGCTGTGTTCTGTGAGCTGCTCTGAAGGGCTTTGTCCACACTGGGCCAGGCCCCTTCTGAGCTGGGCTGAGTTAACAATTGATTGGGGCTGGGTCAAATGTGCAGTTGGGGGAGCAGTCAGCTTCTACATTTGTAAGACAAAACCCAGAACTCCCTCCCCCTCCCTCTGCCAGGCTCCTAAGGTTCCTTGTTCACCTTGGATGAGACTGGGGTATCCTGGGTAGGATCAGGGAGGTACTTTACCAGACAACCAGACACATGGCTCAGGCTGGAGGATTAAGGGGAGTGGGTTTAAGCTTAGTAAGGAGTTAATAGTAAAACTTTCTTAGCAGAAGCTCTGTTGGAGGCCTGGATTTACTCCAAAAGGCCAGTGATATGAGTCTGGACAGAGATGGGTTCCTCCTCCCTGCTGGGCTAGTCAACCATG